GATCATCATCATCTGGCCCCTTAGTGTACATTTCAGAAAGATTAAATCCAGAATGATAAAGCCAGGTCCATGGCCCTTTATCCCCAACATGCATGAAACCATACAAGGAAGATGATTTTTTTCTCAAGAGCCTTCCCCATCTTCCCTTCTTTCGTCTGAAAATCCGACCACGGTGTTTGCTGGCTCTTGGCAAACCCGCCTAAGGTGCCTGAGAACAGAGATGGCTCATGAGGTGGGTCCTCTCATTTTGCTGGAGGTGTGAACCGTGATTCTATCTTGTGGCCCGAGGCAGTGCCATTTGGCAGAGGAGGGAACCTGCCACAGGAGTAATGAAAGGGCATCTTCACCAACAAACCTGAAGGGATGAGAAGACCCAAACAGCTCCTGGCAGCTATTCATTCAAGGGAAGACATTCAAGAGATTTATAGACGGAGGGGAAGGGCGGGTGCCCGTGGGCGGCAGCCAAAGAGCTTCTCTCATCCCTTCAGCCTTTTTGAATTTCCACTGTAAGCGTTGAGGTTTGGGTGACCTCATCGTTAGAAAGAAAAATAATAAGATTAACTTCAGTTCACCTCCATTCCACACAACGAAAGGTGGCCATAACCTACAACAGTGGTAGGCAAACTGCGGCTCCCGAGCCGCATGCGGCTCTTTGGCCCCTTGAGGGTGGCTCTTCCACAAAATTACCACGGCCTGGGCGAGTCTGTGTGGAAGAAGTGGCGTTAGAAGAAGTTTATGTTTAAACAATGTGGCTCTCCAAAGACATGTTGATGGTTGTGCTGTTGATATCTGGCTCTGTGGACTGATGAGTTTGCTGACCACAGGCCTAAAACATCAAGGACCAGAAAGTCATTTAAATTGGTTTCTTGATTCAAGGCTTTTTGCTCCATCATGTGCTTAATTGGGGATATTTGGGGCTTGGCAAAGAGTTAGGGGTGTAAATATATGTGTTACATATTTTATTGATTTTTTTACAGAGAGGAAGAGAGAGGGATAGCTAGAAACATCGATGAGAGAGAAACATCGACCAGCTGCCTCCTGCACACTCCCTACTGGGGATGTGCCCGCAACCAAGGTACATGCCCTTGACGGGAATCGAACCCGGGACCCTTCAGTCTGCAGGCCGATGCTCTAACCACTGAGCAAAACCGGTTTCGACTGGGGGTGTAAATATTGCTGGGAGAGGAAGCCAGTTGCCCCTTTCCGGATGTATTATTGGATCTCGGAAGCTTCCAGATAGAGCTAGGCAATACCTTTCCCCCACATGTTGTTGAGCATCCGTAACTATACTGAAGGCAGAGATGCCTCCTGGAAGGAAAAGGACGAGGACCATGGTTCCTTCTCCCAGTCGGATGGACAGGGATGAAGACCAAGGCGAGCTGGCATGGAAGAACAATAAGGCGGACCCACCGTGAAAGGGGGAGAGGGATCTGGACTGGCGACACGAATGAGCACTGTCTGGGCTGTTGCTGGGGAGTGTTGGTTCTGGTTCTGAGCTTGGCTAATGGTAGAATCCCTTCCTACTGAGTTAATTTGGTATGATGGTTGGGCTTTGGAAAATTGGCTTCAGATCTGTGAGCAAAAGAGTTATACCACCAGAGAGTTGGATTTCCTGGAAACCTAATTTTGTTTTGGAGGGGTTACTGGTGTTTCCTGGTACCCTGAAGACCCACCTGGGTGAACCAGCCAGTGGAAAACACGGTGGCCCTCTGACTTGTCTTCATATCAGAATCATCTGGAAGTCTTTAAAAAACTTCCAAGGCCCAGCCAATGTGGTTCAGCGGTGAGTGTCGACCCATGAACCAAGAAGTAACCTGTTCCATTCCCGGTCAGGGCACATGCCCGGGTTGCAGGCTCTGATCTCCAGGAGGGGGTGTGCAGGAGGCAGCCCTCTCACTGGTGTTTCTATGTCCCTATGCTTTTCCCTTTCTCTCTCTCTCCAGTCAATAAAAATATATTTAAAATAAACAACCAAACACACATCCGAGGCCAGATCACATCTCAGACCACAATCTCAAGGGATGGGGCGGGGGCATTGGTTATTTTTGAAGCTGCCCAGGGGATTCCTGTGTGCAAGCAAGTTTGGGGACTAGTATCCTAAGGAGAGTGGAAGATATAACTTAAAAGTTGAAATAGATTTGTGATACAGGACTTACTTTTTTAAAAAGAGGTGTTTTTTTTTTTTTTTTTTTTTTTTTTTTTTTGCTTTCTAAGCCTGCTTCCCCCCCCTTTCTCCAAGCTCAAAATCTTACATATGTAGTTTATGAAAAAGGCCTAAAGGTCTCATGGCCTGACTCCTCCCCAAACCAGCTCGCATTTCCAAAATATACACATTTCCAAACAGAATGAAGTGCTCTGTACCCCAGACACCTGGCTCACCCCATTATCTTACAAATAGTCGCTGTTCTACGTGATAATGATGTACATTAAGGAGGCATATGCATCTTTTAATTCAGAGGGGCTCTTTTCACTCAATGGAGGGGTAGAGAGCAGGACAGTACCTGCAGCTAATTTGGTGGGTGTCTCCTGCCACCTGGTGGACACTGTAGGATGTGCTATGCGAAAGTCCTCTTCGTAATCACAGCGCCTGTGACATAGAGTGGGGCTCAGTCCTACAGCGTGGAATCTACCGATTTTTATTTCCAAAAACCTCGGGAACATTGCCGGCTTCACACCAAGTGCCTGGATATGGATGCCGTGACGTGATCTTTCAAAGGACCAAACAGTCCCTGCCACGCGCTTCAGTTCTCATGAGCGCCTCTATTCTTGTTTCTCGATTCCAGTAATTACAGGTTATTGTTCCTTGTGATTAAGCCCCTATCCCAGTGGTCAGCAAACTCATTAGTCAACAGAGCAGCAAACCGTGGCTCGCGAGCCGCATGTGGCTCGAGAGCCATAGTTTGCCGACCCCTGGGCTGTGTGGAACAGCTAACGAACTCATGTAGCATAAAACAACGAACACACATGGCTCTGTCACTTTCTGATGTCACTGTGAAAAATTATGGTATTGCACTGTGTTAACTCTGTCCCTGGCTTAATCAATGGGGGAAAAAATTCACAGAACAGAGAATAAAAAGGTCAATGCAACTGTAAGTAAAAGTATTTATTTCCATAAATAAAAAGATAATTCATTATACAGTCAGCAGAATGTTAGCTGTCATTATCTGCATTAAGTGAAGTATGACGTGTCTGCAGCAGTTAATGCAAATGGTTCCCTCTCTCTAGACCCTTCATGCAGTTTTTTTACATTCCTCAGCTTCCCCAAGCTCTCGACACTTTTTCAAACCACACGACAAAGAGGGTATTTCAGTCACAAAGCGTTGCCTTTGCGGAGTCAACAGGACGTTTACCTGCTCAGATCAAAGTTGCCAGTTACGGACTGAACTGCCAGTATTTACTGCGAATCACAGAAGCACTGAGCGTACTACATGCTTCAATCCCGTGTGTGGTAGCATGATGCACACATGTCCACGTGAGAATTAGTAGCTTGATGAGTGAGCGCTGGTACCTACGATGAGCTGGCCCTCGGGGCCCAGCTGTAAGCTTCAAGGGCTGCTCAGTTCTCAGTTCCTGGCGTACAGCGAGCCGGCAGACGACTATAACCACAATGAAGTGAGTGTAATTAAAATATTGTTTCTACAGACAGCCAACTACAATGTTATTACTCTACTTACTCTGGAAACGGCAGCTTCAAAACACAGCGAGGAGCATGTCCATGTGTTACTTCCAGTAGGATTCCACACATTTTTTATACACAATGATCCTAAATAGCTCGTCTCAAGAGTATAAATTGTGGTTTTAGTAAGCACTTATTGGGGCACAATATTGATTCAGACGGGCATAATCTATTTATTCTTCATAATGAAATGTTTATTCCTATTTCAATACTTTCTGCAGAGATTACCTACTTCTCAGATTGAATCTGTGTGGATTCAAGGGTTTATCATCTATGGAAGTGCTCGGTGCAGAGCCTGGCACATAAGTTCCAACACATACTGCTCTTCTTAGTAAGTGTGCCAGCCCATTTATGATAGAGAAATTAGCTAATGCCCCCGGAGAACAATCAAAAGATAAACCTCCAGGTGTATGCATCCACCATATCCCAAGTCTATGTACATACGAAGTGATTTCAAATATTACAAACTATTGCTAAGATCATACTGTATCTGGTGTTAAGTTTTTGCTCTGGCCTCTGGCCTAAAGCAACACATATCCTGTGTATCTGAAAAAAAAAAATCATATAAAAGCAAGGTACACTACCCCCAGGTAACCAAATGTCTCTAACAAAGAATCGGAGTGATAGTGTAATTCAACCCTCCCCTTAGGTTCAAGGTTTCCCTCGACATCATGCAACATCTGACTTCTAGAGCAGAAGTCCTTAAATGATCTCAACATCCCTGAACACTGATTTTTGAGGAAATCATACATTCGATCGTAAGGGGATGGGTATAAACATTTACTAACCTTTAACTATAAGTGACTTTTTTTTTTTCCAGAGGAAAAGGTAACTAACACAGAACCTAAGTCTATGCTACAATGAACAGAATGGTGAAGGGAACACTCTGTTGAAAACAGACTCCTGTCATTCTGTTGGGATCAGTTAAAAGGAAGGAGAATAAGTTTTTTGTAAAGAGAGAAAACATACCCAAAGGGTGATTCTGGCCTTTGCTATACTAATCTGTAATTTATTACTACCCAGAATATGTGTGTGTGTGTGTGTGTGTGTGTGTGTGTATGAAACAAAACCCAACCCTTAAATACACTCTTCAGAGGCAGGATCCAGTCTTCCCCATGTTGTCCCAGTGAAAAAGGAGTGTGGAAACAAAGCTTGAAGCCTCAGTCTATGAAAAATCTGACAGCTAAACGGAAGGCCGATTCCCTCTGAATGCACTCAATTATTCTACAGGCTTCAGGGAAATCATTTCAAGAAACGTGGACGGAAGTCCTCGGCTTATCTCGTCCACTAGCCGGGCGGCTCCCAGGCACCGCGGTTGATGCATTTAGGAGATGGAGCACCCCGTGTCCTTCTGGGGTTTGATGTCCGGCTCTTTCACAGGCCTCACGTCTTCCGGTTTGGGTTTGGTCTGGAGAGAAAGAACAGAAGAACAGAAGCTAAGATTCGGAAAACGAACGCTAGACCTTTTCCACTTCCAGCTTTTTTTTATTTACTTAATATATTTTATTGATTTTTTACAGAGAGGAAGAGAGAGGGTTAGAGAGCTAGAAACATCGATGAGAAACATCGACCAGCTGCCTCTGTACACCCCCCACTGGGGATGTGCCCGCAACCAAGGCACATGCCCTTGACCGGAATCGAACCCGGGTCCTTTCAGTCTTCAGGCCGACACTCTATCCACTGAGCCACACCGGTCCCGGCTATAATGTATATTCATACAAGTCAGAGAGCATCCCTAGAGCTCTAGACGTGGGCAAGCCATCCTCCTCAGAGGTGCTCTCCCCTTCTCTCTCAGGAGGCTCTGACAAACTGGAAAAGAGGCAAGACGGTGAGTTGAAAACAAGGCCAGACGATGAGGTAGAAAATCAGGAGACAATGAAGGCCTCGAGGTCTGTCTCTGAGAGAGCCCTAGAACACATTTCTCCAAGCGCTGCAGTTAGCTAATATAACATTTAGACAAACATATACATCTACTTGTGCAGAGAACAACATCAAAACGCTAACTCTGAATTCTTTTTAAACATTTGTGAATGAGCCCTGGCCGGTTGGGTTAGTGGTTAGAGCATCTGGGACCTAAGGGTGTCAGGTCTGATTCCTGGTCAAGGGCATATACCTCAGCTGCAGTTTCCCCAGCCCTGGTAGGGTGCATGCAAGATGTGTCTGTCTCGCATCCATGTTTCTCTCTCTCCCCCCTCCTTCCCCCTCCCTCTGTCTAAAAATCGTCGGGTGAGGATGAGAAGCGTCTGTGAAGGAATGGAAACCCGGTCTCTTACACTGTCCTCCTTGGGCCGTTTGGTGAGGTCAAAGGCAGCCAGCGTGTCTGGGGTCCATTGAGCACTCGTAGGAGGAAATTCGAAAGGCACGGGCTCCACCAGGCCGTAATTCGCTTTGAGTTCCAGCTGTGGGGCTTCTGTTGGAACTTTTTGAAAGTAGCTGCAAAAAGCCATTGAAACAGCAATTCATTCATTCATTAGTTCACTAACTATTTGATGTTCAAGGGCGTGAAGGTGCTCAGATGACTGGGTGCAGGAACAAGGGGAGGGATGGAAGGAGACCAAAGCAGGGACAATTTGAGGTTAACTTTTGCAGCCCGCTGCTGAAAAGCTGTTTTTTCCTGAATATATTTGCTCCTGGACCTTTACTTATAAAGCTGGACAGAAACCTGATAGACATGAACGTCACACAAAAAATGTATGAAATCCACGTAAAAGACTGAGGGCCGAAAAGAGAGATCTCGCTAAATGAGGAGACGTCGCTATTTCTGAATGGAGAGGCACTCAACGGATGAGGGCTGTGGCTTTATTTTCTCTGCACTTCACGCTAGATTTTCCATTGAGCACATTATTTCCCGATTTCCAATTAACTCATAATTAAAAAAAAATATATGGGAACTTTAGCCTAAACCGGTTGGCTCAGTGGATAGAGCGTTGGCCTGCAGACTGAAAGGTCCCAGGTTTGATTCCGGTCAAGGGCATGTACGTTGGTTTCGGGCACATCCCCAGTAGGGGGTGTGCAAGAGGCAGCTGATGGAAGTTTCTCTCTCATTGATGTTTCTAACTCTCTATCTTTCTCCCTTCCTCTCTGTAAAAAATCAATAAAAAATATTTTTTAAAAGTATGGGAACTTTAAAAGATCTTTTAAAAATTGCATCTACCAACATACAGTTTGAACAATGCTGATTTAATAACAAAACTGAGACAGAAAGTTAATCTCCCTGCTTATAGGTGGCTGAGACCAGAGTGAGATGACTATGCAAAGGGAATTGTGAGGAATATATATAACATATGGAGAGAGAATGCAGGGTAACAGAAAATCAGGACCGTATGAGATTTATTACGTTAACTGAAAATTCATATTTAAATTTTGAAATCTGCTTTTATACATCATCATCAGAAGCAGAATAAGTGTTAAGACAACACAAGTAAACTTTAGTAGCAATTTTAACAGAAGATTAAAGTTAATCTTAATTGAAATCTGATATAAAGTCTTTAGAAACAGATCAATGTATACAGTTTGCCCTCCTCATCTGTGAATCCCCAACTGTGGATGGAAGTTACAGATATTTTACCAAAAAATCTGCCGATAAGTGAATCCAAGCAGTTCACACCTGTGTTGTTCAAGAGTCATGGCCTACTAACATTAATATTACTAAGGCTAGAGGACCGATGCACAAAGATTCATGCAAGAATGGGCCTTCGCTCCAGCTGGAGCAGCCTTTTTGCACCAGCCTGGAGCTGCCTTTCCGCCTTCCCATGCTACCCAGAGGCCCAGAGCAGCTGGGGCAGTGCAGAAGGCTTGTGTTGTCACCATGGCGACAACATAAGCATCCCACCCCTCCCATGGCCACTCAATGCCTGTGTATGCAAATTTATCCACTATCTTTGTTGAGTTAATTTGCATACACACTCCTGATTGGATGGTGGGCATCACGAAGTTACGGTCAGTTTGCATCTTACTCTTTTATTAGCGCAGATACTGCTCAGCGGTACTCACATAAACCCATTCTCTCTCTGACACTTCTCGAGGGTATTCTTTACAAGGTTTCCAAGTTTCCTGAAGAACAAGTGTTCCGAAGGCTTGACTGTTGGTCCAGGTCCCTTGGTTTCTCCATATTCTTTGCATAACGCTTCTGCCTTTGCAAAGGCTGCGTGCGAAAGGGATAGAAAGTCATCTGATTTGAAGTCACTACCGGTTATTCACAATGAAAGCGCTTTAAACCGGAGAAGGCAGGGAATGCTGCAGCAACCCCAGGATCAGTGCAAACCTCTAGAGTCGAGGTTTCTGAAATGTTTCTTTTTTCCAATTCCCATCCCCGTTCATGAACTCAGCCAAAATCTGTTTTAACTGCTTCTCCCCTTTGGGATAAAACATGTGTTTTTTAAGAATAAAATTTAATAACCTGGTGGGAATACTCACATTTTTCTGCTTCTTGGAGAGACCTGATTGCCTCGCCACATTTATCACTAGCCAACAAAGTCTGACCGTGGTAACAGTAAGCCTGAAAAAAGACATAGATTTCCATTCATTTTCTCCACAAATGATGCTTTCCACTGCCATTGTTTTATACATGCATCAGATAAATCATTGCCTTTGTCCACTGATTCAAGTTTCAATGCAATCCCTTACATGTATTTACTTGAATAAGCGTTCCCCCATCTCTGTTAGTATCAAACGTGGAATTACATCAAACCTTTGGGCCAAACTAGTCTTTTAGCCATGGGCTGAGAGCAAAAAGCATTTGCCGAAACCTGCTTCTAAAACGAGAGCATTGTGGGAAAGGAGGGAAAGCACTGGGGTGGGAGGGAGGACTTAAATTAGGACTAAACCGGTTTGAAGCTCACTCTTTAAAAGTCTATATCAGTATGAGGATAGTACATACATGGTCTTATGCGCATGCTTGAAAACCGGTTATACGGCATAAGAAATGAAAATATCTACCTAGATCTGAAAAAGGGTAGGGTTTCTCTCTCTCTCTCTTTTTTTTTTTTCCCAGAGAGAGGTAGGGAGAGAAACATCAATCTGTTGCATCCCACCCCATCTGGGGATTGAACCCGCAACCTAGGATGTGCCCTGACCAGGAACCTAACCCGCCACCTTTCAGTGTATGGGATGACGCCCCAATCAACTGAGCCTCAGTGGCCAGAGCAATGTTTGGTGGGTCCAAGAGACAAAAAGGCCATTTCCCAAGAATGCTTATTAGTAGTTCTCCACCAGCGAAGGTGAAACATGTACAGTATGCCTTAAGATTAGAATTAGTATCTTTCTACAGGGTGAAATGAGATAAGAAATTCTTAAGTATGCAGATGCTTCCAGCTTAAAAGTGGGTTCCACGGCAAGAACCCATTTCTGAGCTCCCCATCCTCTCTCGCCACCCACCTTAGTTCAAAATGGCGGCTGCACTGACTGCCGGGGACCTTCTACCAAGAGCTCCGTTATTCGTAAAATGCTAATGAGGGGTCGGGAGAGCTGGCACCCCTGGCATTCAGGGCTGGGAAGACCATGACTCACTGTTTCCGGGTCATGCATACTTACATAAGCCGTGTAGAAGCACATTTTCAAGAGAAGGTATTTTCTCCACTTAGCAGAGTACGCAGGCTCCAAACTGGATAAAGTATGATCTAAAGTTACATTTTAAAAAGCAAAATATCATTTCACCCTGATTCACTAGGAGACTTTCAAGTCATGTGTTCAGATGCTAAAAGCAGAATGACATTCAAGTCTAGAACTCAAGCATTTACACGTTTTTAAAAACCTCGTTTTATTTCAAGGGATTTGTTTTTCCCCCAATAACCTTATATCAAGATTGGTGAAGCCCCCGGGCTCTTCTTTGATTTGATGGTTAATGTAATTTAGGTTTGACATAATGATAAAAATAGATATAACTAAGAACTTGAAGGTAAATATGATTTATACTATTACATTATCTATTTTTTTTAAAGTTATATAGCTACGCAGAGTAGTCTAGTCACCCAAGTCAGAAACATGAAGGACACACTCATCACTGAATCTCATATGAAATACACACATTCACACATCCTGCCACGCCTCTCTCAAGTCTATTTCTTCCTCCCCGTTTCCTACTTTGCTATCTTTGTTTAAGTGTTCATCATTTTCTCTTTCCATTGTAAGCATTCCTCCTAAGCAAGCCCATTTCTCATCTTACAATCATAGGGACCTTTTAAAAATTCAAATGCAATCAAGTTTACTTTATATCATTTAATGGGCCCCAAATATCTACTGAATAAAGGCCCAACTCCTCAGATAGGCTAGCAAACCAATTCATGATTTCACCCACACACACTTTCCTAGACTCTCCTCCTAACCCACAGCCTGTGTTTAATTTAATTTATTTTATATATATTTTATTGATTGTTTTACAGAGAGGAAGGGAGAGGGATAGAGAGTTCAAAATATCGATAAGAGAGAAACATCGATTAGCTGCCTCCTGCACACTCTCTACTGGGGATGTGCCTACAACGAAGGTACATGCCCTTGACCAGAATCAAACCTGGGATCTTTGAGTCCACAGGCTGACGCTATATCCACTGAGCCAAACCAGTTAGGGCTCATCCAGTGTTTTAGCCAGAGTATCTGTCCAAAGGTCCCAGAGGAAGCTAAGTTCCTTTTTATCTCTATAAACTACAGAATGTTCTCCTTCTCCCATCGCTCAAGATTCCAAGCACACTTAGAATTTCTATTTACATTTCAAAATGAGGTTAACACACCGGCTTCCTCTCGCAGGCCAGGTCCTTCGGGCTTCTAGTTCATGCTGTACCATCTTATGTCATGCCACAATAATGTGTCTGTCCCTTTCCCTAATCTGTGAATCTGTTGTACTGATCTCTGTATACCCAGTAACTGAAACAGCAACCATCCCATACACAGGAACATGTATGTGTTCCCTGAGTAAGTGAATGAAAAGAAAAATAGGCCAATGAGACGACCAGAGTTCTAGTCCCAACTTCTCAACTGTTAGCAGTTAAAATGATGGGTCAGTTAAGTCAAGTCTCTGGATTTTGGTTTCTTGTCTCACTAAGTAAGGATAGTAACTATATGGTTGTAATAAAGACCCAAAAATTTTCAAAAGCAAAACAGCTATATAATTATTAAGACATAATTAGTTAAAAAGTATAGTATCGTCCTTTCCATTAACTGTGAACAGCTCTAATTCTTTTCTTTTCAACAAAATTCATAAAATAATGCAGGTATCATTGTGTGAAAATTCTGGAGAATTTTTCTGATTTGCTTGCTCCCTAGTTAGCCGGGAAGTTAATGTGAAAATCTAAAGGCTAAAAGGGTAATAATGGGATTATGAACATACCAGCTTTCTGATAGAAACTGGCTGTTTCGTAGGCCAGCGCGGCTATCAGTCCCGGAGCATGCTTCAACTCAATGGCTCGAGCGATTGTCACTGTGGCCAAAAACACAATCAAGTTAATCCAAGTTCAATTATAATGGCAGAAGACAGTCCAACAACCTATGCGGGGTTTTAATCGTTTCTTCAAAGTTTTCATTTGAAAAGTATGCTACAGAAAATGCAAACACACAAACTGAGCTTGTTGGCTCTGACGCTACTTTTTATTTATTTTTTAATGTTTTCATTGATTTTAGAGAGAGAGGATGAGAGAGGAAGGGACACAAACAAGGATGAGACAGAATCATCTATCAGCTGCCTCCTGCACACTCCCCACTGGGGATGTGCCCGCAACCAACGCACATGCCCTTGACGGGAATCGAACCTGGGACCCTTGAGTCCACAGGCCGACGCTCTATCCACTGAGCCACACCGGCCAGGGCCAGGCTTTCTTTTAAAAACACCTTACAATCTGAAGGTACCTTCTTGAGCCTCAGCCTGACACTGAATAATGTAAGCTTCTAGGAGCCGTGCTTCCAAGTCTCTTCCCTTCTCGGCGGGTGTGATAAGCCTCGGGATGTGACTTTCCTGAAAGACAAAAAAAAAAAAAAAAAAAAGCCAATTTTTTTTTTAACCCAGTTGTGAGAGATGAAGAGAGTGGAAGCTGATGGAGATTTATCAGAAATACAAGGTACTAACAAAAAATGTGTTAAAAAAAAAAGGAAAACTACTAAGCTTATAGAGAATTAAAGCTCCTGTATACTCAAACGTTCAATGTTTTTTATAAGCTTCTGTAAAAATAAGAAATTCAAGAACAAAGTCTGGATCTCAATGGATTGGTTCGATGTGTAAATCGTATTTGCACCTTAGAAAACGTTTAACTGAAACAGTCGCCTTTTGAATGGCAGCCGGCACTGCTATCACTCACATGAACAGCTGGAGATAAAGATAACAATCCTACAGTCCCTCAGGGTCTCAGCTTTGTGGTCCCTGTAAAAGCATCTTTTCTTATCCTGACAAAACGCAACACTGGTCTCCAGGAAATAAAGGTTTATAGTGAGCATGAGATGCGGGTGATTCTGGATGGAAATATATTACTTTTTCTCCTAATTGCCATCCATCTTCAGGCAATTCAGTGTAACTAGTGTGTGCTGCGTGCCCCTGCAGACAGCAGTAAGGACCGGTCAGCACCAGCAACTTTGGTAATCTGTCTTCTGCCTTCTCAGAAGAGACAGAAGGATAAGCAGTGAATGACGACGTGAGTTTTCTCACTGTAAATTCCACTGGGGATTTTTTAAAATGAAGACACTATTCTATAACTAGCCCCACTCAACTAGGTACTAAACATAAGGAAACCAGAACACACTCTATTACTTTTTACATATGCCCTCGTCCTCTACTCCAAAGAAGTAAAGAAAAATTATTCAAGCCTGGCTGGTGTGGCTCAGCAGCCGAGTATCCACCTTTGAACCAGGAGGTCACTGTTGGATTCAAGGTCAGAGCACATGCCCGGATTGTGGGCTCAATCCCTAGTGGGGGGCATGCAGGGGCAGTCGATCAATCTCTCTCAACACTGATCTCTCTCTCCCTCTCTCTCTCTCTTTTTCTCTCTCTCTCTCCCTTCCTTCCTCTCTGAAATCAATAAAAATATATTTAATTTTTTTTTCAAGAATTGAAGCATTAGAAATATATTTTATTATTATTATTATTATTACCTTTAGATGTTTAAAAATCCCAGCTGCAATTTTCAGGCTTCGATGGACCTCTTTTGCTTCCTCTTCTGTAATGCTTAAAGACAGCGGTGACATTACTTAGAGGATCAAAGCCTTGCTGGTATTAAAACCAACAACTAATACATTATGTATCATAAAACCAAATTAATCATAGTGCTTCTCACTACCAGCTTTCCTCTTTTTAGAAAATCAAATTTGACATTTAACAAATAAAAAAGAGATGACCTAGTGGTCCGAACAAAGGCTTCTTGTTTTTCCTTCCAGAAGATCTTCGGTGCATAAACAGCCTCGAACGTTATACACTTAATGCACGCCCACACTTGAAAAACACATAAATACACACATTCACTGCTCTGCTCTTGCTTAACCCCTTCAATTAGTTCAGAGATCATTTTACATCAGCCTATACAATTCAACTTCATTTTTAAAAATTGTACTTATTGGGGTGACACTGGTTAATAAAATGATACAGGCTTCAGATGTACAGTTCTGATACATCATCTGAATATTGAATTGGGTGTTCACCACTCAGTCAAGTCCCCATCCATCAACTTCACTCTTAAATGGCTGCATGTTATTCCCGTGATCAGATGCACCTGAGAGGGCAGTGGATTTCGTATTGTTAATATCCAGTTTCACTGTTATAAAAAGTGTATCTCATTTTACTTCACAATTCTTTAATCCTTCTGAACATCTTTTGCATTTTTAAAGCCTTTTTATTTATGTTTCTGTGAACTGTTTATGTCCTTTGATTACCTTCATTAGATTTGTTGGTCTTTTCCTTGCTGATTTCTAAGAATATACATTATAAAAGTAATTTGTAGTATGCATCGCACTTTTTTTGACCCTTTTTATAAAAATAATTTGTAAAATGCACTGCACTTTTTTTTGACCCATCTGTCATTTAAAAAAATTCTGTTTAGCCGGGACCGGTTTGGCTCAATGGATAGAGCGTCGGCTTGGGGACTGAAGGGTCCCGGGTTCGATTCCGGTCAAGGGCATGTACCTTGGTTGCGGGCATATCCCCAGTAGGGGGTGTGCAAGAGGCAGTTGATCGATGACTCTCTCTCATCGATGTTTCTAACTCTCTATCCCTCTCTTCCTCTCTGTATAAAATCAATAAAAAAAATTAAAAAAAAAAAAATTCTGTTTATAGTACTTTTACATAGTTAAATATTCAATCTTTTTCCTTTTCCTGGTTTAGGGTTTTATTTTAAAAGACCTTCCCCAGGACAAGATTATTAATTTTCCCCCTCCTTTTGACACTGCGCTCCATAATTCTGATATTTAATATGCTACCATTTTGAGGCAACCTTTCACTTACCAAAGTAGTACCTCTTATCAATAGCCTAGATTGTTTAATAACAAAGCTCCATATACTGGAAAAGTAACACATATGCATATAAGCCACCTCCTTTAACTTACTTTTCTTTGCCAGCCAGTCTCGAGGCATATTTGGTGTACCATAAAGCCACATTAAATCCCATGGAAATTAATTCAAAAACAGCATCCTGCTGGGCACTAGAATCATAAACATGATCATTAAGTTTTGCCAATTATTAAGACGTCTCTACATGAGACCTACTGGTACATCCAACTTAAAGTTATAGGTAACTCTATACTAATTGAAAAATGACGAGAACAGTCCTTGTGCTAACACAGATGGAAAGATAAGACACACACGCAATTAACAATGAAGGACTAAATACAGTATGTACTCCGTAACAGTAAGCCAAGGTTGTTTTTTTTTTTTAAGATGGACTTTTTTTTTTTTTGCTTTCCAGTCAGGGCAGATGCCCAAGGTGGGGGATCAATTCCAGTAGGGGGCGTGCATGAGGCAGCCGATCAATGATTCTCTCTCATCATTGATCCTTCTCTCTCTCCCTTTTCCTTCCTCTCCGAAGGCAATAAAAAAATAATAATAATTTTAAAAGTTAAGGCTATTCAAGTTAACATTTGTATTGATCATCTAAAAAACAGATTTGGTGCAGGAGAAAGATTATATTTTTACTTAACAGCATGTATTAGGAATTTAGATGAAATTTTTCTGATAAGAGAAAATACTGGTTGGGCCTATATTTTATTTCTTCAAATACAGGGGCTATGAGTTAAGTACTGGCTAAATAAGTTTTTAAAAATGGCTTCAATTTAGTACTGTTAGCACTGCCTACCTTGGAACCTGTCCTTGTAATGTATCGGTCCACTTGAAATTTTGAATATATCGTAACTTACTTTCTTGGCTAGATTCATCCAGTGAATTTATGAAACCTATAAACAGCACAAAACATTCCAGTTTTAGAAAGCGATATCAAGTATTAACTTTAGAAAATTTCTCAGGTATTTTTCAGATACCGTTTCCAGGTATCTGAATGAAACTCCTAACCTCTCTCTCCCTTTCTGTATCTCACACCTTCTCCAAAGTAACACATTATGAAATATGAACACACTGAATTTTCAACATGTGAGCAAGACCACATTACCACTCTTATGCTCTCACATTTCAGAACCTCAAGCATACCAAAGATTACAGTCCAGAAGACTGCATTCCGATTTGAAAAGTCTAAGAATTAAATGTGAACTTGTGCAGAGCTATCTTTTAAAAACTCCCGAGTTTGTATAAATAGCTCACCTTGTAAAAGGGAAAAATACGCATCGGCCGCAGTCTTCATCATTTCTGGGTTACAGTTCAAATCCGTGAACAATTCAAGCAGCCGTGCCCTGGATGACCTCAGGTCACTTCCATGAGACAGAGATAGTAAAGTTAGTAAGCTGCGTTACTAACAATGAGTCTGCGTCAAAGAGGCTTAAAACAATCAATTGTAACTTTTCAAACACCACACACACACACACACACACACACACACACACGCTTAAAATTTCCATTTGTAACTTTTCAAACACCACACACACACACACCTCCTCTAAGGTATTGCTAAGTACACTGAAAGGAATTTAATTAGGGTTAACACTGGACGTAACTGAAATTTCTAGTAACAATTGTTTTAAAAGTTGTGTACTAAAATAAACTCAGTCCAGTTTAAAGGGACAAATCATGGGCATTATACATAATAAAAATATATAGCAAGTTTTAATTTAAAAAATTAAACAAACACAATCGCTTTTTGTTCTAGTCAAACTAGCCTAAAACAAAGGTTTTCTTGATAGAAATGACTTCTTTCTTGCTATCTACATTAGGAATCAGCCTACTTTTCCTGTAAAGGGCCTCGAAGTATATACTTTAAGGTTTCCGGGTCATCTAAGCCTCTATAGGAAATGCTGTTGTAGAGAGAAGGCAAAGGCAACCATAGACAATATGTAAATGAATGGGGGTGCAGGGACTGTGTTTTTATAAATAAAGTTTTATAAATAAAACTTTATTTATAAAAACAAGCAGTGGGCCGAATCTGCTGAACATAGGCTTGCTAACCTGGTCTAAGCTACACAATTCATTGAAACTCCTTTCTCCTATATGAACACTCTGAGGGCTATTCAGGTCACAGGGTCAGAACTCAACGAATTTAATATCCAGCCAATTAACAATACCTATATATGTCTTTGTAGAGTCTCTTATACCATTACAATAACTCTTTTGTCGTGATTGCTTTAGCCTCTCTGGGACTCACTGATTTAAAATTAAGGACCCTGGCCTGGCCAAGTTTAAGTAATCTATGATTTAACTCTTCACGTCACTTACAAGTTTGTAAGGAGCCTAAGTTTAGGGACAGTGTGATACATACGTTTGGACTGACCATGGGAACTAAATAATTCCACGGTACCCAAGGGTGACTCAACCAATACCTGTTGAGATTGACGAAACTTACCTGCAAATTTTTGAAGCAGCAGGACTAGTGACTACGCCATAATAGTTAAAAGAAACAGGAGCTGTGGCTTTTAATGGATTCCTATGAAACCAATGCGTCATCTTCTCCAGATATTTCCTATTTAAAAAAAAAAAAATGCATACAAGTTAAATAATGTAAACAGTGAAAAAATAATTATTTTTAAAATAAAATGTTACTGTATGGGATATATACACTTTTATATAAAATACATGTAAAATACTCATAGATAAGCAAAATGCTTCACTGTTACAAGTCAACCTTGTTTTGTCTATGTTTAGATCAGGCCTATTAAAAAATAGCATTTGTGCCGAAACCGGTTTGGCTCAATGGATAGAGCGTCGGCTTGGGGACTGAAGGGCCCTGGGTTCGATTCCGGTCAAGGGCATGTACCTTGGTTGCGGGCATATCCCCAGTAGGGGGTGTGCAAGAGGCATATCCCCAGTAGGGGGCATATCCCCAGTAGGGGTTGTGATCGATGACTCTCTCTCATCGATGTTTCTAACTCTCTATCTCTCTCCCTTCCTCTCTGTACAAAACCAATAAAATATATTTAAAAAAATAAAAAATAGCATTTGTATTATGCTAAGTGAAATAAGTGTGTGTGTGTATATATGTGTGTGTATATATATGTATATGTATATATGCCTATGCCTACATACACATAGACATCTATGCATATATATCTTGTAGACACCATCCATGTCCGCCTCCTTTATAACCTAAGCAAACACAGCATCCACATGCATGTAAATCAGCCTTCCAGAGGTAATGGCACACAATACACTGGATTCTGCGGCAGCCAATTGCCTGCACACAGTCTGTCCAGGCGGCCCGCTGCTCCTGGGATGAACATGTCTGCGGGTTACCTCTGTGCTGCCTTCTCTGCCCCAGCGGTCCCAGACCCCGCACCCCGGTTTCCAGGGATCCGGAGGATGGGGTCCAGGAACGCCACACCCATCACCGCAGGTGCAAGGGGACCTGCAGGACCACCGCCACAACCGCCACCCAGCAGGCTCCCACAGTGGGGACTGGCTTCCGGACAGGGGTCCCCCACCACCCCGGAGCCCCCGGGTCCCCGAGGCGCCCACCTGAGCGGCGGCGCCCCGAGGCCGGAGCGTCCGCTTCCTGTTTACCATCAGCCTCTCCCCAACCTCCCCAGCCCGGCCACCCGCGCAGGCGCCAGCTGGGGCGCCCCACTTCCCGGCAGGCATTTCTGTGGAGCCCACACCCCCCACCCGGGAGGGGGACGGGCCCACGACCGCTGGGCGAGCCCCTGTGTAGCTGGGAGCCCCCCAATACCAGCGGGGAGGCGGGCAAGGAGTTGGGGGGGGGGTCCCCGCCCATCTGACTGCTCATGCTGTGGATTCTCGGGGCGCAAAATAAACGTCCTCTCTTCCTTTGGTTTCAAGATGCCAAAAGGAGGCACTTTTTTTGGGGGGGTCCCTCTCCGGGGGGTCGATGGGGACTGTGCAAAAGGGGGTGGGTGGTGACCCCCACGGCCTGGGCCTCCAGCGACGCGACAACAAGGGGCAGGATATTTACTGGGAAACGCCCGTCCTCTGGACACACTTACCGGATTCCTCGGACCCGGGACGGCGGTCCTCCCTACGGGGAAGGGAGACAGGAAGGCAGGGTGCGAGCGGCCAGCGAGGAAGGGAGAGGGACGCGGAGGAGCTGGCCCCGGAGCTGGGGAGGGCGGGGACCGCCGCGCATGCGTGGGGCGGCGCGGGGACCACCGCGCATGCGCGGGCCGGGGTCACGTGACGCAGCGGCCATGACAGCTACCGGGGCAAACCGCACGGGCCGCTGGGGGCGTGGCCGCCGCCGCCGCAGCCCCTCCGGGCGCGCTCCTTTCCCCGGGCCCTCCTCCGAAGCTGCTCCGCCCTCGTCTTTCCTCTGGAGCGGCGGCCTCGTCTTTCCTGGGAGAAGCGAGGAGGAGGCGCGGCCATAGCGGCCTAGCCGCGGTGGCCGCTGGGAGAGCGGGGCGCGGCCTCAACCTAACGCGGGGCGGGGCCTCGGGGGCGGGGCCTCGGCGGGGCGGCCGCCGAGCCGCCAAGTTTGGCTGTGGCGGCAAATGGGCTTGGGCGGCTCCTCGGCGGGCGGCGGCGGCGGCGGCCGGAGCGGATCCTCCCGGCCCTGTTAATGTCGGGGCCCGGCCCGGGGAGGATGGCGCCCTGAGACCCCTGGCTCGCCGGCCGGGGCAGGGGCAGGGGCAGGGGCCGGGGCGGGAGGGGGCGTCCGGGCGGGGCACCGGCCATGTCGGAGGGGACCCGCACTCTGCTGCAGCGCTGGGGCGCCAGCTTCAGGAGGGGCGCCGACTTCGACTCCTGGGGCCAGCTGGTGGAGGCGATCGACGAGTATCAGATGTGAGTTTCCATGAAGACTTGGGGGACCCCCGATCTCTCCCCGTCCCCCCGATTTCCCCCCCCCCCACCCGTCCCCGTCGGTCTCTCCCATCCCGGTCTCCGCGGCCGAGGCTCCTCTGGGTGGGGCCCCCCGCGGGCACCGGGGCTGGATCGCATCGCCCGGACCCCCGGGCCGCTTTGCCCTGGACACACCCCACGACCCGCGGGCTCTCGGGGGGCCTCCTCGCCCTGGTCCCTCCCGCCTCCGCCGGGCCGGTCCCCATTCAACAGGTGGCCCTGGTCCCCCGGGGCGCCGGCCCCCATCGGGCTGCCTCCTTAGTTCCTTCTCCCCCCCAAGTCTCACGGGTCCCCCGCTTGCAGCTTCCTTTACGCCTCCTCCCCCCGCCCCGTGCAGGTTGCCGCCCCTCAGTTTCTCTGGGGTGGGGGGTAGGAGGGTAGGGGAAAACTTGGGTGCTCTCCGCCCATGTTCCAGGCACGAGTGGCTCTGCGTGCAGGGTGCCATCCTCCCCCCACCCCCATGTGTAGGACTGGAGGGGCCGAGCTGGGGGTGATGGAGAGGATGGGGGGGGGGCGGGTGACCCCTGGGAAGCAGCGAGGCCAGAGGTGCCCCACGATCCCGAACAAGGGCCCCCCTTCTCCACCCATCCTTCTGTGCAGAGCGCTGTTTTCCCAGGTCGCCTCGGTTCCGTTTCGGTTTCTGGGACTGTTATTTGCTCAGCGGCAGTGTGGGTCCCACCCACCCACCCTCGCTCGGCTGCTTTGGGTGGAGTCCGCGCGCGCAGGATGTGGACAGAAGAGCGAGCAAAACTGGGAATTCACGGGACCCGCGCACGGGAGCCGCCGCCGCCGCTCCCTCCCGGGCCCCTCCTCCCCTTCCTGTGTGTCACGTATGGCCGCTGGGTGCGTGTGCGTGTGTGTGTGTGTGTGTGTGTGTGTGTGTGTGTACCGGGCTCTGATCAGCCCCCAAATCCCATTTCCTTTCCCTTTTTAGTTTCCCCTCCCCCCCCCCAAAAAAGTAAGAGTTATTATTATTGTTTTTATTATTGTTATTATTGTTGTTATTATTATTACAAGACAAGATATAGGTGCCTATAAAACCTTGCTTAGCCGAAACCGGTTTGGCTCAGTGGATAGAGCGTCGGCCTGCGGACTGAAGGGTCCCAGGTTCGATTCCAGTCAAGGGCATGGACCTTGGTTGCTGGCACATCCCCAGTGACGGTGTGTGCAGGAGGCGGCTGATGGATGATTCTCTCTCATCGGTGTTTCTCTCTATCCCTCTCTCTTCCTCTCTGTAAAAAGTCAATAAGATATATTTTTTAAAAACAACAACACACAAAACAAACAAACAAAAAAACCCACCTTGCTTATATCCTTATACATTTCCCCTGGAAGTAACTGGCTGCTGAAATGCCACTGCAAACTGTTGCCATGAATGACTTCTTGGGTTGAAGCAAGTTATTGTTTGAGGCTGTAGGGAATATGAAACCATGGGTATGTGTGTGTAAGATCTCTCCCGCCCTCTTCCTCCTCCCCCCCACACCTCAGTGTCTTCTGGGAAGAATATGCCATTGGAGCTTGGAGGATCTAAACTCTTTTTCCTCTCTTTACAGTAGTTATTTGTCTTTTGCTGTGGCCATTCCGTTGGATGTGTGGATGTTCTCCTTCCCCGTCTTACTGACTTCGAATCGCCTGTAGTTTCTCAAAAGGCCCAGAAAACAACCCCGCTCTGGGCCCTTTTGCCAAGCAGATCATCTGATTGGCACTTGCACTTGATAATCACTTGCTCTTGCCACTACTCAGTGAGCACATTACTCTCATTTTACAAAAAGAGGAAACAGAAGCTTGAGTTAAGCAGACTACCTAGGGTCTCAATACTATACCCCTGTCTTAGCTGGTTTGGCTCACTGGGTAGAGCATTGGTCTGGGGACTGAAGGGTCCCAGGTTCATTTCTGGTCAGGGGCATGGACCTTGGTTGTGGGCACATCCCCAGTGGGGGGTGTGCAGGAGGCAACTGATGGATGCTTTTCTCTCATTGATGTTCCTAACTCTCTATCCCTCTCCCTTCTGCTCTGTGAAAAATCAACAAAATATATTTTAAAAAAGAAAGAATACTATACTGCTGAAATTTGAGGTTTTTAAAAAAATTCCCAATCCTGTCTGCTCTGCCCCATAGCATTTAAGATACTTTATTTAAGATGTGTCGTGTATGTAATTTGGGAAATTAAGAGTTTCTTCATTACCAAAGAACATGTCTCCAGTTAGGCAGTGCGCACCCATGTGTGTTCTCATTCTGTGTGTTGGCCAGAGTTGCAGACCAGAGGTATAAAGCTGCCTCTCGCTGGGAAGTGGCGGGACTTCGCAGCTGTTGGCATTGAGCTTCAGACCTCACAACGGGAGTGGACAGTCCCATGTCCAATGGAAATTACAGAGGAAAGCAGAGTATGCAAGCTGTTTGCTAGCACTGAGTAATAGGCACATACAAATCTGCTATTGGACCTCCACACTAACTTTTTATTTTATTTTTCAATATTTTTTATTAATTTCTTTTACAGAGAGGAAGGGAGAGGGATAGAGAGTTAGAAACATCAATCAGCTGCCTCCTGCACGCCCCCTACTGGGGATGTGCCCGCAACCAAGGTACATGCCTTGAACTTCGGACCCTTCAGTCCTCAGACGGACACTCTATCCACTGAGCCAAACCGGTTAGGGCCACCCTAACTTTTTAACTTCGTCATTCAGAGCGGTTCTCAGATTTTAAAAACTGCCAGCCTAACGATTGGCTTAACTTTTGTAGCTGTATAAAAATGAGGCTATGTATAAAATGAGGTCGAAATGTTCAAAGCAGTGCAATTTATAATAGCTAAGATCTGGAAACAGCCCAAGTGCCCATCAGTAGATGAATGGATAAAAAAGCTGTGGGACATGGTCCCCCCCATGAATACTAGGCAGCAGAAAAAAAGGCTCTCTTACCCTGAGAGACAGCATGGAGGGACCTGGAGAGCATCCTGCTAAGTGACATAAGCCAGTCAGGCATAATGTTTTTGAGGTTCATCCATGTTGTGGCATGTAACACTACTTCGTTCTTCTTTATGCCAAATAATATTCCATTGAATGGATACACTCCTTTTTGTCTACCCCGTTCATCAGTGGGTGGACATTTGGGTTATTTCCACTTTGGGGCTGTTTTGCATAATGCTGATAGTGTAAGCATTCGTGTACAGGTGTTTTTGTGTGAAGATATGTTTTCAGTTTCTTTGGGAATATACCTACCCTGTTTTCCCCGAAAATAAAACAGTGTCTTATATTAATTTTTTCTCCCAAAGTTGCTCTAGATCTTATTTTCAGGGGATGTCTTATCTTTCCATGCGCTAGGTCTTATTTTCAGAGGATGTCTTATTTTCGGGGAAACACGGTAGGATTTTGAAATTGCTGGGTTATATGGTAACTCTGCTTAACTTTAAACATTTTTTAAAAATATATTTTATTGATTTTTTTACAGAGAGGAAGGAGGAGGGTAGAGAGAAACATCGATGAGAGAGAAACATCAATCAACTGCCTCCTGCACACCCCCTACTGAGGATGTGCCCTTGACCGGAATCAAACCTGGGACCCTTCAATCTGCAGGCCGATGCTCTATTCATTGAGCCAAACCGGTTTCAGCATGCTATTTGTAATTTTGATGATAATTGAGCAGATAATTATTTTCATGGCAGATTGGTGTTTTCTTTATTTTTTATGAAAAATGTTTTCAAAGGTAAAATTTGGTTGGATATTGCTGCTTTGGCATGGCTGTAAGATGGACTAATCTTACCAGCAAATGAACAATAGACCGATGAAGTGTCTCTGGTTGTACTGTTATTGGTGCTCACCGGAAGTTTTCAGCAGCATCTGGACAACTTATTGGCTTGTGCCAGAAGAAACGTATGCGTGCTTAAGAATGTTGGATTAGATGCCACTCGAGGTCCTTCCCAGTTCTAAGTCTTTTTTACTGTCTAAGGCTTAAATTTGTCCCAGTGAAATGCTCTGAAAATTTTATCTTATTTTCATTGTCATTGTATAAAGAATTATGATTATATAAAGATAATGTAGGTTTATACTTTGAAACCAGAACATAGTATTATTGTACTTCACTGTCTGGTTATTAAAATATTAAAATTGGGCCCTGGCCAGTGTGGTTTCATTGGTTGGGCAGCATCCCATGCACCAAAGGGTTGCTGGTTCGATTCCTACTTAGGGCACATGCCCCTGTTGTAGGCTCTAGCCCCAGTAGGGGGCATGCAGGAGGTAGCCAATCGATGTTTCATTCTAACATAAATGTTTCTCTCTCTCCCCTACCCTTCCTCTTTCTCTCGAAAAATGAATAAATAAATTAAAGATATTTTTAAAAATAAAAGATTGAAGTTGCTTCACGTTGTTGCACTTGAGAAACTTTGCTTTCCTTCAGTTCTAAAGAATATATGTTTTTCTTCTTACAGATTAGCAAGACATCTACAAAAAGAGGCCCAAGCTCAACACAATAATTCTGAATTCACAGAAGAACAAAAGGTATCAGAGAATAATGGCCAGATAGGTCAAATTCCAAACGAACAGGGTTCCTCATTTGATTCCATTAAGTAGAAACTAAACTGGTATACAAAGAATGACACCGGTTATGCTTTGCTGAACATGTGATCACGTAGAGGTACCACGTGATTTCCTGTTTAGTGAATTTCTTACTTCATGAATTTCTTCTAGCCACTTAGGATTTGTTTATCTTTAGTGGAGATCAACACTTTGGTTGGGAGGGAAGTCCATAAATTGGAGTTTGATTATGAGTAATCATATCTTATTTTTAACTCTGAACTTTTTTTTTTTTTTATATTTTATTGATTTTTTTGCAGAGAGGAAGAGAGAGGGATAGAGAGTTAGAAACATCGATGAGAGAGAATCATCGATCAGCTGCCTCTTGCACACCCCCTACTGGGGATGTGTCCGAACCAAGGTACATGCCCTTGACCGGAATCGAACCCGGGACCTTTCAGTCCATATGTTGACACTCTATCCACTGAGCCAAACCGGTTTCGGCAACTCTGAATTTTCTTAACTTTTCTACCTCCTTTCAAAACAAAACAGACACCCCCCAAAAAAGTCACCACTGAAAAGAGTTAGTTCAATTGTTTGGCATAAGATTCTGTCGCAAAATAAATGCGTAAGACTGCAAAATGTTTCAACAGGCTCTTTCTCCTTGAATTAAAATTTTAATGTGCCATGTTAATTCCTTGTAAAGATGATGAAAAATAGGATGCTTTAAGAAGCTTTACTTTAAAGAGTGAGATGAAGTGGGAAGAAACAATTCCCATTTTTTCCTGGCTCAGAGCATCTAATGTAAAATCAGATTTTAATCTCGTAGATAAAGAAAAAGACTTGTGCCAAAACCGGTTTGGCCCAATGGATAGAGCGTTGGCCTGCGGACTGAAAGGTCCCGTGTTCAATTCCGGTCAAGGGCATGTACCTTGGTTGCGGGCACATCCCCAGTAGGGGGTGAGCAAGAGACAGCGGATTGATGATTCTCTCTCATCGATGTTTCTAACTCTCTAACCCCCTCTCTTCCTCTCTGTAAAAAATCAATAAAATATATTTAAAAAAAAAAAAAAAAAGACTTGTATCAGTTTTTCCTTCTTCTCTTAAAAAAACACATTGTGTTGCTGGGACCGGTTTGGCTCAGTGCATAGAGCGTCGGCCTGCGGACTGAATGGTCCCAGGTTCAATTCCGGGCAAGGGCATGTACCTTGGTTGCGGGTACATCCCCAGTGGGGGGTGTGCAAGAGGCAGCTAATCGATGATTCTCTCTCATCGATGTTTCTAACTCTCTATCCCTCTCTCTTCCTCTCTGTAAAAAATCAATAAAATATATATTAAAAAAAAAAAAAAAAACACATTGTGAAAACTATGGTGACTTAATTTGCTCGAGTTCTTTTTTTGTGCAAAGAGTAGGAGTGGGAGTGATTTTTTTTTTTTTTTTTTGGTAGACATTTTAAGGAAGCTGAAACAAATTTATTTTGGTCCTTAGGCTTTGTATTCATTTAAGTGTTATTTATAGGAGTTTGGAAAGGAAAGAAACCCCTAAAGATTTTGGTTAGCCATATTTCTTACACAAGATAGTGTATTTGCATTTTTAAAATATTTAAGATCTACATTATCTAATGTACTTTTTTTGTGTTGAAAAAGAAAAAAAAAACATTGCTGCAATTTAAAAGTATACTGTTCTCTTTTTCTTAATAATTATTGATACCCACAATAGATTTAGAACGTTTAGGATTTGAGCCCTGGAAAATAATTACCATAAAAAAAATGATTGGTTTGCTTAAAGAAAGGAACAAAGACTATATGCTTTATCACTTCCATAGCATTTGTGAAAACTATTTAGGAATTGATTAGGAAGTGATCAGCTGGTTTCACTGTATTGAGAATTAAATGACCGCCATATTTTATTTTTCATTTTTTAAAATTGATTTTGAGAAAGAGAGAAAGGGCAAGGGGGAGAGAGAGAGAGAGGAACATTGATGTGAGAGCAGAACACCAATCTCCTATTTCCTGTGCACTCCCTACTGTGGATCAAGCCCAAAACCCAGGCATGTGCCCTGACCGGGAATTGAACTGACAACCTTTTGGTGCACAGGAAGCCTTTTGCTTTCTAGCTCAGAATAAGCTTTCAAAATTATTTGATGAATAAATGCTTTGTTATTAATCGTAGGTTATTGATATTCATATATGATTATTATTTTATGGTAAAAGAAAGCCTAATTTTTGAAAGCATAACTTATATACATCTCCACAATATTTATTTTAAGTCTAAAGGACTCTAAAACAGATCTGCTGATCCCTCAAAACTTGACTAATTGGTGATAAAATATTCCTGGGGGTTTTCTAATCATAATATCCACAAAGACTTCCGGTGGAAAGGAAGAAATTTTGGGATTCTTATTTGATCCTCCCTCATGATTAGTTGACTTGGCTTTCTATTTCCAATAGTTTTGTCATAATAACAACTGGGTTTAGTAGCCAAAGAATAGCTGCCAGAAGCTTCCATCCCATTAAGTTCCTTGCTTTGGTGCAGTAGATTTTCTCATGAAAGTTTCTGGGCAGAATAGAACATCATGTCTCATGATGCTTAGAAAGTCTCTTTCTGTTTTGAGTCAGATTTGGTGGTAATGAGACTTCAAGCGCTAATGCTTGTATTATATTTTTTAGTATAATACAAGAAGGGGAGGCAGTAGAGAGAGAGAGAAAGGGCAAGGGGGAGAGAGAGAGAGAGGAACATTGATGTGAGAGCAGAACACCAATCTCCTGTTTCCTGTGCACTCTACTGCCTCCCCTTCACTTCCTCCCTTCCCAGCCTCCCCCCCAGCTAGAGAGTAGATGACTAGCTGTTTAAGTCTAAAAAATTAAATCTGGATTGAGACTGTACTACTACTTCCATTACGTGTATTTTTAAAACCTATTTAAATTGAATACATCTTAGCAAAATTAATGTAGCTCGTTAAGTGTCTAATTTGGATCCCGCCTTTTTCTTTAAAACTGCTCTTTTTGGAGTTGCCAATTTCCCTAGCAACAATAAACCAAAATAGCCAATATTCTGAAAATGAGAACATTTACCATTGCATATCATATCAGGCATGAGCAACTCATTTGAATGAAGTGCTGATAATTTAAATCTTTCTAAGTTTATACTTCACTTCCCCTCGATGCACATTAGTTAACAGTCAGTACTTACTCTGGCACAAATGACTGTGCTTCTCAGTCATTTGTGTGTCCATTTGTTTCTAGGAAAGGTGGAACAGTTACAGTAGCACACACTGGATTTTGACACCAATAAATCCTGCATGTTTTAAAAGTCATTGTTACATCTGAAAATGATAGTGTTTCACTCCTCTTTTAATACTGATGTTGGGTGTGGTCCCTTAAAATAGTTATGAATAATGCTTATTGGTATTTTGCCATAGTTCAGTAGATTCCGGCCAAAAAGCTGTTGCTTCTGCTTAATTCGAAGAAATGGTTATTAGTGGACTCATAGTTGCTAAACTGCATTTTACTTTAAAAGTTAAAAGTACCAAATCAAGTGGATTTTAGAGTAAAGAAGGAAAAAGAGTTAAGTAATATCTTTAAAGACTTGCTCATTGATATATCTCACGTTAATACAGACAAAATCCTTGTTAAAAGAACATTTTTGAAAGAACAAAAAGTATGGCCAAATGGTATTAAAATAAATATTGCCTTTTACTATTTTGTATAGAAAAAAATTTATATCCAGGGAAACTTACCTACCCTCTGTTTAATTTTCACATCTATAAAATGACTGTCTCTAACTGATAGAATTATAGGGTTAGGGTTAGGGTTATTTTTAGAAATTATACTGGCACATCCTTTATCAATAAAAAATCAACTGGTGATTTTGACAACTACTGGTTAATCGTTACAATTTTTGGTATTTACAGCTTTTTCTTTTTCCTGCAGAAAACCATAGGCAAAATTGCAACATGCTTGGAATTACGAAGCGCAGCTTTACAGGTAAATAGGGTTTTGTCCCTCTTTCTGATATAAGGAAGCCACCAACCATTAGGTCTGCAAAATTAAGGAAAAGAAATTATTATGAACTATTCTAATGAAACATTAGGCCTGTCTGCTAAGAGCAGTATTGTCTCAGGAGGGTTTTATAGCAATACTAATTCTTGAGTTAAGCTCATAAGAAAATATTTATATTCATTTTTTATAAACTAGAAATAAAAGATATAACTTTAATTTTTTTTCTGTTATTATTAGTCTAAATGTTCCCAAAATACAACAACAAACAAAAATCCTCTTCAGACTTGTCATTTTTCTACTTTGAAAGTCAGAAATAGATTCATTTATTTTGGCTACTTTTGGACTATTTATTTAGTTCTTGCCACTTAAAAGCCTGAAATCTTTATATTGGAAAGATGTAATATGCATATTTTGAATTCAGTCCACACAGTCCCAAGAAGAATTTAAACTGGAGGATCTGAAGAAGCTAGAACCAAGTAAGTTTTTCAGTGATACTTCTTTCAAAAACTATTCATTAGATATATTAAGATGATTTAGCATAGATGCTTATTTGACTTATTTCTGTTACTATTTTGTCCTGTGTGATATTTTTACGCTTTAATACTTCCTATAGTATTTATAATAATTTTTATTTGGTTTACCTTCATTTAGAATATGAAAAATTTGATTCTAGGTTTTTTTCCCTGTTGACCCCCTCCACCTGCACCCACCCTTACCAAGCCTTCGCCACGCTGTTCCAGAACTTGGCATTGACCAGAGTTCTAAGTCGCCCCAAAGCCTGTGTTTCCTCCCCTGCACTCTATATTATACCTGTACCGGCATCAGTCCTACATATCACAGTTCTCCAGTTCAAGCTCCTGAGAGGTTATTGACACACATATTAGAAGATTGGACTAAAATCTGCTTCTACTTCTTGTGTTTTTGTTTGTTTTTATTTATTAAGATTAGGGGTCAGAGTGGAAAGGAAAGATAGCATTATTGGGATTCATTTTATTATATTTTTAATTTATATAGTTCTTTTCATATGGACTTCTCCCTCCTTGGTATTTACTAGCTTTTGAGATGACTTTAATTTGCTCTTGCCTCCTAAAGGTGCATCAGTGTGCATATTGTATCTTAGCAGGATATGCTCTGTCATTTTGATTTGATTAAAGCGAGGCACTTGTGAGTTATTGTATCAGAATCATTTTCTACAAGTTGGTATTTGATATATTTTAAGTTAAGTGTACTTAGTCAGACTAGCCTCTGCCTCTTCTAAGACTAAGAAAAGGAAAATTAATGGACGACTGTACCTTTCAATACGTGGACTTGGTTACTTTATTTTGCTAATGTATTTTTTCCTTCAAGGGTTTTTTAATCTCTTGATAATCCTGTCTGAAATATACTAAAACTAAGATCTTGAAAGCACTAGTCATTTAATTTTCTTACGTTAATCCTTAGTAATATCAACATATCACATTTCAAATCTCTGCCACTTCCCCTTTGCTTGTCCAACTCAGCTGTACAGTCCGTTCTATTCCTTGAACAAGTCCGACTCGTTCCTGCCTCAGAGCCTTTGTTGTTGTCTCGCCCGTTCTCTAATACTTGGAAAGCCATTGTCCCTTGTACTTAGAGACCGTTCCTCTCACTCCAGGTCACAGCTCACACTTCTAACAAGTTAGTTGTGAAAGGCCTACCTCGTCCACCTTAGCTGAAGTTTCCCCTCCCCTCCACTCGCCCAGTCTTCCTGTTTGTGGCCTGTATCACGCTAAGCACAATCTTACATTAACTCGTTAACTTGTTGGCTCACCTATTGTCTGCTTGCCCTCCGTGGCCTAGGACCCATATGTGAGGGCAAGAACCCTCTGTCTTGATCACTGCCGTATCTCAAAAACCATTATGGACATTCAAGGCACATTTGTTGAGAAGAAAGTGAGAGGAAGGATAAGGGTAAGAGCTGGAGGGGGAGAGAGAATAAGAATGAATGAGAATCTAGGCACAATCTCAGATTTCTCTCTCACTGAAGGACTGAGGAGGGGTGCTCTAAGAAGTCCGGTCAACACATCTCACTCCTGCGGAAGTCATACCATTGCAGTCCGCACTGGATTTCCTCCTTTGAGATGACAGCACGCCATACCTATTTTAGCGTTAAGCTGCAGGACTCCAAAGTTAGGCTGAATCGGATGAATGTAAAATCCTGGGAACTTTTTTGATTTCTCAGTTAATGCCATTACTTCACTTTCGTATAACTGCAGGTAATGACCGGAAACCCATAAGGCTAGATATGAAGCACATACTTGTAGCACCTCTCTAACATAGGAAGAGTAGAACTCCTGTAAGTTTCCATGCCAGAACATAGTCATGGAGCACAGCCATGGTCCAGGAGGTGGTGCCATAGGGAGTGGTTTCAAACTTCCCATGAGGATAAGTCTTTCTTTATGTTTGTGAGCATGTATGTTATGCATATGTATGTATGTATGTATATAATAACCTTTATCATAAGTGATAATGTTTATATGTATGTGTATAAAACGTGTGTGTATACAGAAAACTTTATATAAGAAAATTATAACCAGATTTACCAAACTTTACCAGTTTCATGTAGTTGAGGGGAAATCTAATCAGGACATAGAATAAGACATGTTCGTGTACCTCTGATGTCAGTCTTTAAATGTCGTACTCCAGGAAGGAGACATTACTTGTCTGTTCCCATGTCTCACCTGGGAATCTGTACATAGAACTATTTGGGAGTTTGTTTTCCATGAGGGCTTTGAGGCTCTGGAACTTACCCTCTCCTTAGAGAGCTAACAGAACTTTGAAATTATCAGTGGCTGAAGCATTCTACGGATATTTCCATTTGCTAAGAGCTTGTAGTCCATGGACAAATACATGATAAGATTGGCAATTTTCAACAATTTTTACTATGCAGAGAAAATTAATTAAAAACAGTCATTTGTGGCAAAATTTTAAATTTGATTCATAGAAGAATTTATGTTCCTTTCTCTTTTTATTCTAGTCCTAAAGAATATTCTTACCTATAATAAAGAATTCCCATTTGACGTTCAGCCTGTCCCTTTAAGGTAGAGTAAATACTCACCAATATTTGTTTTCTTATTTTACAACTGTTTTTGTCAACATCGTTTATTAAATCAGCATCTTACCTGGGAAGTGAGCAGCTGGCAGGCTTCCCTGGAATATTTGGTTTTGGAGCTCATTGTATGTCTGCCCTTTTGCATGCAGAAGAATTTTAGCACCCGGTGAAGAAGAGAATTTGGAATTTGAAGATGAAGAAGAAGAGGGTGGTGCTGGAGTGGGGTCTCCTGATTCCTTTCCTGCTAGAGTTCCCGGTAGGTGTCTTTGTTATAAAATAGTCATAACCTAATGCCAGGTCAGGGTGTGTGGAACTGATTTTGTACTTGCCTGTGGGAGTAAGACATCTCCAGAGCCTGTGTCAGTCTGAAGCGAACATTGATGGCCATGTTATTGGCAGTAGCTATTTTAGAAGTGTGGTCTCAAAGTACCTTACTGTGTTGGGGCTCCCAAGACTGCCCTCCAGCTTGGTAATTCGCTAGGAGGAATGAGCATATAGTTGTACTCACAGCTATAATGTATCGCAGTGAGAGAAATACAAGAACAGAACCAGCAAAAGGAAAAGATGTGCGAGCTTCCGGGAGTCCTCCCTATAGAGTCACGTAATTAATTCCCCAGCGACGAATGGGAGCAGCACACGGAGATGGCTTCTGTCGGGAAGCACAGTGGGAACTCAGTGCCCGAGCTGATACGGGGGCCAATCATATAGCCACCCTCTGCCGAGCACTAGCCGAAATCCCTTCTCCTAGAGCAGTGGTCGGCAAACTCATGAGTCCACAGAGCCAAATATCAACAGCACAACGATTGACATGTCTTTGGAGAGCAACAGTTTTTAAAACTATATTTTATTGATTTTGTACAGAGAGGAAGGGAGAGAGATACAGAGTTAGAAACATCGATGAGAGAGAGTCATCGATCAGCTGCCTCTTGCACACCCCCTTCTGGGGATATGCCCGCAACCAAGGTCCATGCCCTTGAGCGGAATCGAACCCGGGACCCTTCAGTCCCCAAGCCGACGGAGAGCCACAGTTTTTAAACTTCAACTTCTTCTAACGCCACTTCTTCAACATAGACTCGCCCAGGCCGTGGTATTTTGTGGAAGCCACACTCCAGGGGCCAAAGAGCCGCATGGGGCTCTCGAGCCGTAGTTTGCCGACCACGGGCCTAGAGGAAAGCAAGTACTCGGCATAGACCGCATTGTTTGCCCAGACAGCTGAGGACAGTGGCTGTTCTTATCAGGGGACGTGGGAACCAAGTCCAGGTTCCCAGACACATGCCCACGGCTGACCTTGCAAGCAGGCCTTTCCCAGAATGACTGTCTCGGTCCTGCTCTGTTAACTCTCCTGTGCACTGTCATGTGCTTGTTTAATTAATTACATTGTGGTTATTAAACATGAATCCGGAGGTGGGGGGGGGTAGAAAGCAAATAACGTAAAATATTTACTCTGACATTTCCAGTGCAGCTCGTTTTTAATTACTGTCTCTCTGTTACCAGGTACTTTATTACCAAGGTTGCCGTCAGAACCAGGAATGACGTTACTAACGATCAGGATTGAGAAGATCGGGCTGAAAGATGCCGGCCAGTGCATTGATCCCTACATCACAGTCAGTGTGAAGGGTAAATAACTGTGTCTGCATGCTTTCCCTCTGGCCAGTTTTATAAAATGGTGTTTCTCATTGGGATAAATGGGGGAGGGAGGACTCTCGTGTCTGTGACAGCTCACTTTTCATTCATTCTACAGGGAGGTGAGATCCCTGAAAAGAGGGCATCATTCCTTCTCTGCACATTTCTGAGAGATTTACTAAAAGCATTTTCCTATTATAACTTATACTCATGTGTGCTTTCCAGGTTTTATTTATTTTTTCCTATGTCTTTTATTCTTCAAATTCCATCAAGGGTGCTGCCTAGACATACGCTGTCTTCACAGCAAAGACATCTTTCGGGAAAAAGGTTTAAAAAATGTCCCCACCTCCCTTGAGTGTGTGGTCCCTTTGCACAGCCGAGCTCTCCTGTCCGCTCGGGCCTCCTTGAGGCCCTCTCCTTCCTGTCCAGGGGAGCCTTCACAGGGAGAGCTGGGCCCAGGTGGGCGAGAGTGAGGGCGTCGATGAATCATTCGTGGAGAAGGGAAATAGGACATATCCGTAAACATCCACACCCAGAACTCAGTCCTGTGGGACGCTAAAAAGTGGTATGTTTCTTGTCCTCATCTATGTTACCAAGGTTATTAAACATGGTTAGTCTTAGAATTTTTTTTGTGTGTGTGTGTGTACTATCCGATGATTGATTCCTTGAAAACAACTTTTTCTGTCTTTGGCTTGAGAGGAAAGTCACAGCAGTTGAGTTCTTTCGTTGCATCACCAAGCGTTTATACAGAACTTGACTGTAAAGCACCCAGTGGCCTTTTGAAAATAATTATTGAGTGATTGAGAATGAAGTTATACTATTATTCAGAAATGACAGCACAGTTCATCCAATCCACAGTTCATCTGCAGTTTGAGGCAAATCAGTGAAACAGATATGGACTGAAAAGAAATGGAACTTTCCCCAAGGACAGGAATAAATTCAGACCCATGTGGGTTCATTAGTGCCAAACAAAAGAAAAGGACTTTGGCCACCAAGGAAAATTCTAAAATGCAGAAACCACAATCCACAGCACTGGTGCTGTGCTACTTTATCTCCTGATGTGCAGTTACCAAGTTCATGGTCGACTGGAAAGCATTTGTACCCGACCTTGTTTTATAAATCCTCAGCAGAGCTGCATATCTCATTTGGGAAAATACACTGTGAAACACACAATGTCATGATAACGTGATAGGTATTACGTTACCTTCGCATACACGTTGGACTGAAATATGTTTTTGTGTACATATCTTTGGGAACTGAGATAATTAAATGTGCTAAATCGTTTTTAGTCCCCCTAAGATGGGCCTGTGGAGTAGAACACCGAGGAGTCATTTAGTGAGTCCCCGTTGCATTTGATTAAACTGGAAGATTCTCGGCTCCAGGAAATGAAAACCATACTCCATACACAGTGCACCATCTGGCTGTTGTAAATCAGGTTATGTTACAAGCAAAGGGGACCAGAATGTAGGTCACATGCATGCAAAAGCATTCACGAATGGAGAGGTTTCATTGGCAGGTTTCATGTCCGATTGGTCCACCCACTTGAATGTAACAGGGATTCTGATGGTGGTCAGTTCACAGGCCTTCCCGGACCATGCACTTGATCCACGTGGGAAGCAGGGGTGTTATTCACATTGCAAAGTTTTATTGCACTCAGGAATATGATGGATGGCTTGTTCCCGGGGGAAGACACGATGCTCTCTTCACCTCTGAACTATAGGATCACCTCTGAATTGAGGGATCACCTCTGAACTATGGGATCACCTCTGAACTATAGGATCACCTCTGAACTGAGGGATCACCTCTGAACTATAGGATCACCTCTGAACTATAGGATCCTTAGATAGCCAGTCATATGGCAAGGTTTTCTCTGCTGATCCCTGAGGTCGTCCCTCCCTTCCCCCCCAGCTCCCTCCACATACCTCTGGAGACCACAGGTCTTCCTCTGGTGGCCGCCCACACCATCTGGAGCCCAGTTAACTGGGAGTCTGCTCTGGGAAACATAACCCCGGGGCTCCTCTGTGCATTTGAAGGCTGCTTGAGCAGAAACTCTTCCTTTCCAGATCTGAACGGCATAGATTTAACTCCTGTGCAAGATACCCCGGTGGCTTCACGGAAAGAAGATACATACGTTCACTTTAACGTGGACATTGAGCTCCAGAAGCACGTTGAAAAATTAACCAAAGGTGTGTAATCATCAGAGTTCTCATCTTGGTCATGTTAGTGGGCCTGGTGGATGTAGCAGCGTTGGAAAAAGTAAATGTCGCACAGTGTTTATGGAATTGAATGAAATACACGTTTATATTTAAATGTGGGAATCTGGAACTGTGTTCTCTAGTTGCATAGTAAATAACATATAACAAAGCAGTCTACCATAATAAAATCTTATCTTTAACAACAAATAGAATGGAAGCTTTCTCACCGAAGAGCTGGGGAAGCAGGGCTCCTGAAGATTAAGTCTCTGGTCCCTGAAAGACATTTTTTTAAGCGGAATTTATTGGGCAGACAAGACTATCGTTTGCGTTAGTTGGCAGGAGGGTGGGAAAGGACAAAAGCAAATTATTAAAAAGGTGAAGTTACATGCCAAAACCAGTTTGGCTCAGTGGATAGAGCGTTGGTCTGCGGACTAAAGAGTCCCAGGTTCAATTCCGGTCAAGGGCATGTACATTGGTTGCGGGCACATCCCAGTAGGGGTTGTGCAGGAGGCAGCTGATCTATGTTTCTCTCTCATCGATGTTTCTAGCTCTCTATCCCTCTACCTTCCTCTCTGTGGAAAATCAATAAAATATATATATATATTTTTTAAAATAACAAATATGCTGTGCTTCACGCTAACAAGCATGTCAGCTCATCTTCCTAGCCTATTCTCATTTCACTGGGCGTTCTTCCTTCAGTCTGGCTCAGGAGTTTTGCTAGAGTTTGGAGTGACAGCCACAGGGGTACCATCAGACTATATAACAAAGGTTACCCTATAAAATCATGCCAGTTGTTTATATTCTTGTTCATATGCTCCTGGTAATCAAAGGAAATGTATCGCCGAGAATGGTGCTGTCCGTCCATGGCTAATGCTTTTTCCCATCCCTAGGTGCAGCTATCTTCTTTGAATTCAAACACTACAAGCCTAAGAAAAGGTTTACCAGTACCAAGTGTTTCGCTTTCATGGAGATGGATGAGATTAAACCCGGGCCCATTGTAATAGAACTGTAAGTGATGCGCGTATGGAGTTGGTATGATGGAACGGTGGCTACTATTGCTTCTTAGTATGTGACCTTGGAATCGATGGATGATCAAAGTATTTTAAACAGTGGCTTTTCTGTTGTGGTTACAGATACAAGAAACCCACTGATTTTAAAAGAAAGAAATTGCAATTATTGACCAAGAAACCACTTTATCTCCATCTACATCAAACTTTGCACAAGGAGCGACCCTGACACGAATACCCTGGACCTTCTGTGAATTGTGCCACTCACTACCAACATCGTAGCTCTGTAGAATCTCTCCCTTCAGCAGGCCAGGAGGCAGGCCGCGCCGGGCCCATGGGCCAGAGGGAGCCCGCTGCAAAGCCGTAGCACAGAACCCACGTCCAGCACATCACTGACATGTAAGACTCTTTTGGATACAGGCTTATTGTAGGTTTTGAAACCTGTTTTTACTCTTCTATTGATTGTGCAGTTCATATCCTCTTTTCTAATCGACCACTACTGCCCTGCTTCCTGGAAAAACACTGTTGTGGGTAGGGTGTGCTCATCTTCAGACTTACTACAGCAATAAGAATGTACTCGAGTTTACACGTCTGTCCCTTCTGCTCCACCACGCTCTCTGGGTGTTTTGAATGAATGTCAAACTTTGGGCCGATGTGGGTAGGATCGTATGAAACTGCTCTGGAGCGTTTGGACCAGGTAGTCTGTCCAAGAAGGAAATTACTAGGCTGCTCCTTGAGGTGGCCTGAGCTCACCTGATCTCATCCTTCTCCTGCTCGGAGTGTGCCTTGGCCGGATCAGTATCCTTACGGGAACGTTCCCAGGTTGTCGCTGTGATTTCTCCCGATGACAAGAGTGTTTTGGAAAGTGAACATATGTTTTGTCATGTTGATTCGCTCTCTCTGATCATGATTCTAGGGTTAACGCGAAACCATCTCAGAATAGTTATCAATATTTAGATGGGTTAATAATGTCTTCTAGATCATGTAATCTACAAATAATTTGAGTCAGATGCTAAGGAGATACTGCAGGAATGACTGCTATTTTTCTGACAACTGATTGTGAAACCTGGAAACCAGCATACCTCTTATAGCATTGAGTATGCGAAATTTGGAGATAATCTATTTTTTTTTTTACATAGGTAGATAGGATTGCCATTTATTTCCTGTTTAGATATATCACCATTCATCCATATGGAAATATGCAGGTCATTAGCTTGTTATAATTTGACTATTTACATTATTTTTGATTTAACGGGGCATAAATAAAACTTTCATAGTATACACGAGGCGCCTGTTTGATGCACAGAACATTAAATCGGGGTGTGCTTTCTGGGGGTTAGATGCAGAGCCCACATATTTCATACATAGCACTACTTGCAATGACCAATGCTGGCACAAGGGAATGGGGTGCAGTACTGGGCCTGTTTTTAAACTAGTGTAATAACCTGTCATACTGGTCAGTATGTTTGCTTTTTAAAATAAGTAACCACCATTAAGTTGTCCCTTGCACTTTGAAGAGATCCAGTCTTTCTGTTGTCCGTTGGGTCAGTTCCGTTGACTGAGATGAATGTCAGAAACCTTAGGAGCCTGAAAGAATTCTCAGCCGGATTCAGTCTGCTCTCTCATCTTGATCACATTCATTTCAAAATGGTTCCGTCCACAATCGCTGGAGGGGATGAGGAATTGCCTTAATTAACTTCGTTGTTCACTCAGCTCTCAGACTGTGAGTTGTCAGCCCCCCAGACTGTAAGCTCCTCAAGGGGCAAAAACCACACTTTCTCCACGTCATGTGAACTGAGGGGGCAGCACTCTGTACCCCAAGGGACTCAGGACCTTTCGTTTGAAGTAGCTAACAAGACATAAGAAAATCCTCCCTCAAAAAACCTATTAAAATGTAGCAAAACTGACATACTGTTCTTTCTCTTTTCTCATAGACCATAAGACATGTATAGCAAAGTGATAATTTATATGACGCATCTGCTACTGTTCACTAAGTGTGTTTTATATGAACTCCCCATGCCTTTCAACAGTATTAAAGAAGCTTCATTGAACACTGTGTGAGTAGCTTAGCTTTCATTCAGAACAGAATGAAATTACAAAGCAAGTGATTGTCTTGAAGCAGTAGACACAGAATACTCCACATCCCACAGTAAATTAATTAAATTTACTTTCAAATGAGAAAAAAAAAAAATCGGCCATTGAAGAGTAACCACAACTGTAGAAATGTGATGTGGCTGAAACATAAAGGAGAGGATTTTAAAAACCACGCCCGGAAACACGACGATGAGATGGCCCAGTGTGACACCCTGAGAGGTGGTCCCCTGACTTCTGGATATTGGCAGCTGCCTGGCTCCACTGCCACAGCGATGCCACCAGAGGGCTGAGAGGCGCCATCCTGCAGGGGCAGAGGTGCTCAGGTCGGGAATTCTCTACAGCTTTAGGAGCACAAAAGGACTCCAGCTCTGATTGATTTAAAAATAGGTTTAATTGCCCTGGCCAGTTTGGCTCAGTGGATAGAGCATCCGCCTGCGGACTGAAGGATCCCGAGTTCGATTCCAGTCAAGGGCACATGCCCAGGTTGTGGGCTTGATCCACAATAGGGGACCTACAGAAGGCAGCCGATCGGTGATTCTCATCATTGATATTTCTCTCTCCTTTCCTCTCTGAAATCAATTTTAAAGAATAGGTTTAATTTACCTTCCCTACTTGATTATCTTCCTAGTTGGAATAATCTACACTTAAATGCTATTTAAAAATAGGAATTATATTAACTTCACCATTATTTTATGTCCTAAAAGAGATCGAAATATTCAAAAGTTCTATTTGTGACTTACTCTAAAAATAACTTTTGCTCTTAACTATGGAGTTCTTATCAAATTTGTTCTACTCTTTTTAAAAAAATATATATTTTATTGATTTTTCACAGAGAGGAAGAGAGAGGGATAGAGAGTTAGAAACATCGATGAGAGAGAATCATTGATCAGCTGCCTCCTACACACTCCCCGACTGGAGATGTGCCTACAACCAAGGTACATGCCCTTGCACGGAATTGAACCCGGGACCTTTCAGTCCACAGGCCAACCGTCTATCCACTGAGCCAAACCGGTCCCGGCAAATTTGTTCTACTCTTGATATTAAATGGAAGGACCTATTGATGGAATTCTTTTGCTGAAGACATGTTACTTATGAATTTTGAAAGGGTTATCTTCTTTCAAAGGTCCTTATCTTTCTCAAGTGGTATATGTGTAAGTGGTTTTATATAAAGGAAGCTTTGGTTTCAGAGGCTTTTGTTCTGTCATAGGGTGTCCTTAGTGGAGTAAATGCCATAACAATGACAGGCTCTGGTGCAGGTAATATTCTATCATAGACCTTCAGAGAATGGGAGAGTATAGTCAAAAAGTTAACTGGGATATCAGCTTTTTACCATTTTAATTTAATCTAAATTTACTTATTAAAACATACTATTAAGTTACTATAATTTAATGGTTTAAAGAGTTAGTTCTTAAGAAACATTGTTTTAAAACCATCGGGTAGCCCTGGCTGGTGTGGCTCTGTTGGTTGGAGCATCATCCCGAACACTGAAAGGTGGCAGGTTCGATTCCTGGTCGGGTTATGAACGAGAGGTAACCGATCTGTTTCTCACATAAATGTTTCTCTCTCTTTCTCTCTCTCCCTCTCTCTCTTTCCTCTTCTCCCTTTCTCTAAAATTCCAATAAAAAATTAAAATTTAAAATAAAAACCATGGTATTGTAAGAGTACTTTTTGAGTATGGTGTAATCCCAAATTCTTACACGTATACTGATTTTTAAATACAAATGCCAACATTCAAATATTAACTGTGGAGTAGAATCAGTCAACAAAAAGAACTGAGGGGTCAGCCCATGGTTGCTGACCTAGGGCATGTTAAAGCCTTAAATCTTAAATCATTCTTTCTCATGGTATTCTACTCTCCTGATGGTTTTTGTATAGTCATTGAAAATCATAGGCAAGGTATGGGAGAAATAATAAACTTTAATTCTTTTTAAACGAAGGACATTTCCTTTTATGGTTGCAAGACATTGCTTTCTTTTTTCTATTGTGCACCCTTTTAAAAAATAATCAATTTTTATTTCAGAGAAGAAGGGAGAGAGAGAGAGAGAGAGGGAGAGAGAGAGAGAGAGAGAGAGAGAGAGAGAGAGAGAGAGGAACATCAATGATGAGAGAATCATCGATCAGCTGCCTCCTGCACCGCCTCCCCCCCACTGGAGATGGAGCCTTCAAAGTGGGCATGTGCCCTGCCCAGAAATTGCACCTTGACTTCCTGGGTCACGGTCAATGCTCAACCACAGGGCGCCGAACTTCCATCTTTCCCAAGTGGCACAAGTCTCGCGAGAAAACAGTCTAATGAATCCACAGACTCTTGGGAAATATTAATAACCAAATTTTAATGAACTTCCACTACAAAGAAATATCTTCAGCAAGAGGGGAGATAAAGTTCAGTGATTTCTTAGTAAACATTTTGAGCGTAACAGTCCTTGCGACCAGATACTTTAAAAATTCAAGCTTATCAACACCGTTGCTCCGCGTACAACTGGTGTCCACTATAAAACAGGAGAATAAATGGAAATACGTGATCTTATAGCATTTCCACAGGAAATGTTCATAGTTTTCATGACGTTCTGAATCATTGAACAGTTACATAGGCTACATGAACTAAAACACAGGTGTTCTTTATTGCACATTTCAAGGTTGGGAGGAAGGCTGTGGCTTACGAGGTGATTCTCATGGAAGGGGAGAAATGGTATATTTTTCATTGTTTGGCTCAAAAATGCACGCTGCCGGGGGGCAGCTCGGGTCTAAAAACTAACTTTATTTCGACTTCTGGGTTTAAGAGTGTCATGGAGAGGGCACAGTCCACTTCCTGTCGGGCGGCGGGTCGGTCGGTCGGGGTTACGGGCTCTGTTTCAAGGCCTGGGAGGAGCCCTGGCTGCCGCTCGGAGGGGCAGGAGGGGGCTCCTCTCGGGAGCCCGGAGGCAGTGAGTCTCTGGCAGGAGGGGGAGGGTACCCCGGGGGGCCGTGGCCCGGGGGCGGGAGTCGGGGGCCGGGAGAGCCGCCGGGCCGGAAGGGAGGGTGTCCCGGGACAAATCCTCGAGGGTCGAAAGGCACGTCCCGTTTCCCCGGCGGGACGCCCGGTGGGTACTCCCTGAAGCCCAGAGGCGGCCGGAAGCCGGGCCCTGGAGAGATACAAAC